TTTCTTAGGGATTGGAATGAAAACTGACCTTTTCCAGTCCTGTGGCCACTGCTGAGTTTTCCAAATTTGCTGGCATATTGAGTGCAGCACTTTCACAGCATCATCTTTCAGGATTTGAAATAGCTCAACTGGAATTCCATCACCTCCAGTAGCTTTGTTTGAATCCTACTCATTTCTAAAAAATTCCCCCATATAGATTTGTATCAGCCTCCACTGGCTGTGTGTATGTGTGCATGTGTCCCACCAGCATCCGGCAGATATCAACTGTGGTAGATCATAACGGTCTCCCTTTCTATTTGCACTTTAATGCCTTTGTAGATCTCAATCAGTTCACTTCTCAGTCTCAATATTTCCAAACTTCACATTTCTCTTTTCAATCCTGTCTTCATCTCTCCCGCCTTCATGCTATTGGTCCCTCAGCTCCCATTTCCATTAATGATGATGTTTTGTGGGACACAAGTCAACCCAAACAGTCCATTCTCTGGCCTTTAAAAATGAATATCCTTCTTACATGCAAAATACACTTTTACCCATTCTATTGGCCCAAATAGTCAAATATCTCTGAGGTGTGAAGTGTTAGTTGCTTAGCTGTGTCTGATTCTTTGTGACCACATAAACTGTAGTCAGCCAGGCTCCTGTGTCCATGGAATTCTCCAGGCCAGAATCCTGGAATGAGTTGCCATTCCCTTCTCCAGGGGATCTTCCCAACCCAGGGATGGAACCCGGGTCTACTGCATTGCAGGTAGACTCTTTACCATCTGAGCCACCAGGGAAGCCAAGCTAACCACAATGGGGCCCTGAAGGGGAGACTCTATCTGGGAGACAGGTTTTTTCAGATGGCTGTGCAGTACACAGAATGCTCTTGCGTCATGAATGTATTTGATACTTATAACTGCAGCAGACAGACCAACCCTGACACAGATGGAGCAGACGTTAAAAAAAAAAAAATCTATTTCTTAATGTGGAAACAAGGCCCAGGGGCTTCAGTGGGAGGTTGAAGGTCACATGGCTGGTGGGGGAGGGAGGGGGACTAGGTCAAGGCCCTTTCAGGCATTCTGTAACATTCACTGGTCTGCATCTTGTCTGCAGGAATTGATTTATTATTCAGAATCAACATGGTTTTTACTGGTCGGCTATGTAATATGCATGGTGTGGGGCAGAACAGGTGAAATTAAGTCAGTGAAAAGGCTGAAAGCAGCCTGCAGACTACCATGTTTGGGCTCTTGAAACAGGGGGATCTTCTCTAGTATTAAGCTGGTTGGAATTTGACTTCAGGCTTCCACTGTGTTGAACCAACCAGCTAGGAAAGCCCACAGCGATGCATTTGGACGTGGACGAGTCCTCTCTTCCTGCCCGGGAGCACAAGGGGTGACATTTCCGTTCTCTTTTGCACCTCATTTTGTCTCTCTGTTCTCATCACAGCCTGGGTGGGACCGCCTATAACTCTTTGTGCAAGGCAGCTGCGGTTTCCTTGGCCTTTGTCCGATGACCTGTAGATAACACACAGTCTGTAACTGTTCCAACGATGCTTTTCCTAACTAACACCTCCATGTTCGTTTCCACTGTTACAGGCTTCACCTCAGCAGGTAAGTAAGATACAAGGGGACTTGGGGTTCGGTAAGACTGAGTAAGTGGGGAGTGCAAACACCATGAGATGCCATAGCCCTGGATGCAGCTCTCCTTTCCCTGTAGCCAGGACACCCTTCTGGCTTCACTGCATTCAAGTCACTTAAAAATATTTTATTTTCCATCTCACTTCCTGCCTCTCCCTCTTCTGAAATTCATTTTGTAGATCAATACTATGTCTTCAGGGCCAAATAACTGATACAAATTCCTCTTTTCATTTAGAGGCCATTTGCAGAAAAGAAAATCATTTCTCTGATGAAGATGAGGCTTGAAAGTTTTGCCAGGGTATCAGCTGTAGGAATGTCGTTTTTAGGGAGTGTCCGCTGTAAATCACGTGAGTACAACACTTACAGCTCATTAAAGTCACAACTTTACTATGCAAAGCAATTTTTGGCTGCTGCAAATGTGCCTTATTTGCTTTGTGTCACCATGTGTTCTGTGTTGTTGGGTGGCGTTTATAAGTCTTATCAGATCCATGGATTGACACTGAACCCTGTGTGTGTGAACACTTGAGAAACTCATGCTGTAAGTTTAAGTATAATGACCTTCATTTCATGCTTGTCAGCAGAAAAACAAGGGATCGTCAGTAGAAATTTGGAAGAAGTAGTGAATTCGCTCAGTTGTGTCCAACTCTTTGTGACCCCCATGGACTATAACCTACCAGGCTCCTCCATCCATGGAATTTTCCAGGCAAGTGTCCTGGAGTGGGTTGCCATTTCCTTCTCCAGGGAATCTTCCCAACCCAGGTATCGAACCGGGGTCTCCTGCATTACAGGAAGACACTTTACTGTCTGAGCCACCAGGAAAGCCAATTTGGAAATTTGGACTAGAGGTTAAAAGAGACACATCTAGTCTCCATCTCTATTTTTTCCTGTTTCAACATTTTACCCTGCTATGGCCTCCTATCCAGCCATGTGCCTCAGTTTCCTTGTCTATATCTGCATTGTGTGACTGTTGAAAGGTTAAGTGAAAGCATGCAGTGTTTGAAAGCATGCCTGGCATGCAGTAACTACTCAACAACAACGTATGCTATTATTGGTCCTTCCCTGGGTCCTATCTGCCTCAGAAAAGGAGGGCACAGAGCTTGGGAGCATATATGACCGACTGTGGGTTGATCAACAAATTGATCAAGAAGCAAGCTTCTTGGAGTCTGCAGGCCATAAAAACTGCTTCAAGCAAAGCTCACTCCAAGATGTCAGGATAATCTGAATCAGATGCTTTCCAGCCATGTGTAGGGAGATGGGGCCCTGGTAGAAATTGCATCTATCTTGATCATTTTATGAAAATCCTCCCAAATTTTACAAGAACTTCCTATGTCAATCTCATCAATACAAACTATGTCAGCTCAGTGATCACAGTGATGTATTCTGACAGCAGTGTATGTCACCTGCTCCTTGACCTAGGTTTACTTGATGTAACTGATGATGTGGGATCCTGTTCTTCCTGCTCCTTCCCATAAATTTCCCCAAACTCCACAGGTTCTCCAAGTAACAGCCGCTTCATATGGAGAAGGGAGGGTCTTGGTCTTGGCTAGTCACATGCCCACGACCTGTCTTCCAAATACAGGATTGCATTATACTCATCAAAAAAATATTTGCATATCTCTCAGCCCAAGGCCCTTGGGAAGACCAAATACACAGGATTTATAATGAGACTTGTTTATGGTTGCAGTAAAGATGAGAATTGCCATAAAGTCTGAAGCCAAACCTCAGTTCTCGAGAGCACGCAGCCGCCTCTCCAAACCACACTTTTACCGAAGCTGTTAACCAGTCCATCTACGGACACGTGTTAGTTTCATTTGTAGTTAAGATGATGTGGCTAGCCTTTCTTGTGCAACTAGGACCTGCGGGAGAAAACAAAACACATTATGTGTTCCCACCTTCTGAGAGTGCTGTAAGTTGTCAGGCACCTCCACGGGCCCCACCAATGCCATCTGCCACCCTCATCCACAGGCTCGATTATCATTCTCCCCAGACTATATGAGAAGAGGGGTAAGAAGCCAGGGATCAAGCAAGTGGATGCATGTGGGAAGGACAACGCAAACCAGGAAGAGAAGCCGAAGAGCCAGTGCCTGGTCTGGTGCCACCCAGCATCATCTAGCAGATGCTGAGGAATCCGGGGGAGGGGGTGGCGCTGTCATTTTGGGTGGAAGTGGAGGCAGCAGGCTTAGGTGATATACAGACTGGAAAGTCCTTCTGCGTATTCCAGCTCCTAAATACAAGACAAGCACCTGGAATGAAAAGCACCATAGAATTTGTATTTACTTGAGAGTTTGCATGGCTCTTTCAAAGACATCATACGGGTCCTGAAGAGCCTAAGACACAAAGCCCTGAAAAGATCGTTCTTGGGCAGTGCTCTGTCAGATGGAGACCTTCCAGAATAAAGTTGACTGTAAATGAATCTCTGCTTCCAAATGTAACGCTGTAGATACACTTTGATTTCACAGCCACTGATCAATAATTCACTGGGCTCGTGACTGCTGATGACATGATTTAATATGTCCAGCTAAATTATGTTCCCGTAGGAACGCTCATGCATACCACAGGAAAAAATTACCATTAACACAGTGCCGGCCCTGGATCGAAGCAAGGTGGCATACATGCCTAGACGCGCGGTTTGGAATAAGGAAGGGTCTGTGATCAAATCAACAGATGACCTAAAGCAGACAGAGCTCCATGAGCTTGGGACTAGAGACCTTCTTTTGATCTCACCCTGAGTCAGGAATGCCGGGCTTTGGTCAGTATTTGTCAATACCCACCACCAAGGGCTCCCTAGGTGTCTCAGTGGTAAGGAATCCACTTGCCAATTCAGGGGACATGGGTTCAATCCCCTGGGTTGGGAAGATTCCCTGGAGGAGGAAATGGCAACCCACTCCGGTATTCTTGCCTAGAGAATTCCAGGGACAGAGGAGCCTGGAGGGCTCCAGTCCATGGGATCATAAAGAGTTGGACATGACCGAGCAGTTGAGTACGTACCACCAAGATCAGAACCAGGGCGACCAAGGTGAAATACATCCAGGGAAACTAACATTGCTTGAGAGTAAGCCTAGTCCTTGTTCAGACTTCTTAAGATACACGTTCATCATCTTTACTGCTTGTGAGTCTCTGCCTGTTTCTCAGCAGTTCTCTCTTGGTCTCCCCTTGTTTCCCATGAGATGTTGGGTGACATGGCAGAAGTGGCCAGGCGTGTGTGTGAGGACCCTGAGGTCGTGGGTGTGTCATCTGGAGAAGAAATACTACAAACCTTGCTTTCTACCAAAAACAAGAACAGCAAGAAGAATCCAGGGAATTTTTAATTATTTTTTTTTGGGGGGGGTAGAGTTGCTTTCCAATGTTGTGTTAGTTTCTGTTGTACAGCAAAGTGAATCAGCCATACAGATACACACACCCCCTTGCTTTTTGGACTTTCTCCCCATTCAGTTTACCCTAGAGCATTAAGTAGAGTTCCCTGTGCTACGCAGTATGTTCCCATCAGTTGTCTATTTTATGCACAAAATCAATAGCGTATGGGCCTTCCCTGGTGGCTCAGCTGTAAAGAATCTGCCTGCCAATGCAGGGGAAGTGGGTTTGATCCCTGGGTGGGGGGAGACCCCCTGGTGCAGGAAATGACAACCCACTCCAGTATTCTTGCCTGGAGAATCCCATGGACAGAGGAGCATGGCTAGCTATAGTCCATGACTTCCCAAAAGAAGTGGACATGACTTAGCGACTAAACAACAGCAAAAATCAATGGTGTATACGTGTCAATTCCAGTCTTCCCATTCCTCCCATCTCACCCCTTGCCTCCTTGGCATCCATTCATTTCTCTGTGTCTCTATTTCTGCTCTGCACGTAAGATCCTCTGTACCATTTTCTCTTAGATTCCACATATATGTGTCAATATACGGGATTTGTTTTTCTCTTTCTGGACTTACTTTGCTGACCCAAGAGATTTCGTGTGAGAAGAGGTTAAACCCTAAAAAGTGCCAGGTCCTGCCCCGCCTTAGTTCTCACTGTGGTTCAGCGTTTTGGAGCCGTACCTGATGCCTGTTCCCTCACGTTGGGATCTCTTCTTTCCTTGTCAGCTGCCGCGGTCTCTGAGGGCAACAGTGATCACAAGGTAAGAATGGGAGCGAGGCGCATGGGGCCTGGCATCAGACTGGTTTCAAACTGTGTCTCTGCTGCTCACACTGCCTGTGTGATCTTGGAAAGTTTTGGCCCCTCTGTGCTTCAGTTTTCACGTCTTTTAAATGAAAGTGAAAGTGAAAGTCACTTAGTTGTGCTGACTCTTCGCAACCCCATGGACTATATAGTCCATAGAATTCTCCAGGCTAGAATACTGGAGTGGGTAGCCTTTCCCTTCTTCAGGGGATCTTCCCAACCCAGGGATCGAATCAGGGTCTCCCACATCGCAGGTGGATTCTTTATCAACTGAGCTATCAGGGAAGCCAGACATATTAATACCTCTTCACCCCTATGGTTGTTGTGAAGATTAAGTGAACTCCAGTGCAATTACATTATTAGTGCTGTGCTTGTTATAGACTTACAATACAATAAATGTTAATAATGCATATTCTTTCTTAAAAATTAACTTATTTATTTTAATTGGAGATGAATTATTTTGCAATATTATGGTAGTTTTGCCATACACTGACATGAATCAGCCTTGGGTGTACATGTGTCCCCCATCCTGAAACCCCCTCCCTTCTCCCTCCCCATCCCATCCCTCGGGGTTGTCCCAGTGCACCGACTTTGAATGCCCTGTTTCATGCATCGAACTTGGACTGGCGATCTATTTCACATATGGTAATATACATGTTTCAATGCTAGTCTCTCAAATCATCCCAACCTCGCCTTCTCCCACAGAGTCCAAAAGTCTGTTCTTTACATCTGTGTCTCTTTTGCTGTCTTGCATATAGGGTTGTTGTTACCATCATTGTAAATTCCATATATATGCATTAATATACTGTATTGGTGTTTTTCTTTCTGACTTATTTTCCTCTGTATAATAGGCTTAATTTTTATCCATCTCATTTTTTTTGTTGTTACTTTTAATTTAATTGAGGGATAATTACTTTACAGAATTTTGTGGTTTTCTGTCATACATCAATAAGAATCAGCCATAGGTACTCCCATGTCCCCTCCCTCTCAGACCTTTTCCCTCCCATCTCCCTCCTCCACCCCACCCTTCATCCTGCCACAGAGCCCCTGTTTGAGTTCCCGGAGTCATACGGCAAATTCCCATTGGCTATCTGTTTTACACGTGGTATCGTAAGTTTTTATGTTTCTCTCTCCACACATCTCCCCTTCTCCCTCCTCCCCTCCCACCCTGTCCATCGGTCTGTCCCCTATGTCT